AACATTTTACATTATATAATAAATCTTGTACTTTTCTTTCTTGGTGTTTTTCCTGTAATATTGGGAATATTAACCTTTAGTATCTAAGAATAAAATAAAACTGGAATTTATATGATTTATCAGTTTCTATTAATGCCACTAAATAAGTGAATGTTTGAGGTAAAAGACGTAACTTCACAATCTGTGTTAACAATGCACTGCCTCATTTTTCATAAATTCAAATATGCTACATTTCTATCTAAGGTTGTTTCCATTTTATCAGTTACTATTTACTGCTTTATTTTGATGGACTCACCTTTGTTTCTCAGACTCTTCCTGTCCCTGTGTGTTTTTCCACTGTTATGATCACCTGCGCCGCCCTGATTTGTTTTACCTGTTCCTTATTACCTTCCTCCCTTGTGTATTTAGTCTCTGTGCTCCCTCGTCTGTTTGTTAGTTCGTCTTAGCTCTTTGTAAGTAAGTGTTTCAGCCTTGTTCCTCGTGTGTTTTAACTACATATTTTGGACCCAGCCTTTGCCTAGTGATTTGGATACCTTGGCCTTCGTGGACTGTTAAACTGTGTACCGAACCCTGCTCCTGTTAAGTAAAGACTTTAATTATTAACTGCCTGTTTTGACCATTGTCATTGTCTGGTGGCTCCAGTGTGATTAAGTACTGATTTTGATTGTACTCAACATGTGGTGGTTCAATGACTTATTATTCACCACTTATTTACAGATAACTACTCTATTATTAGTTAAGAGGACCACAAACATGACAATCGATAGCCATTACTTAACAATATCAAATAATTAACATGCACAGTACAATCACCATTTAACCATTTGATCTTTTTTTGCCATTTACTAACATTTTACTAAAATGCTGCCCAGCATAAATATTTCCCTCCTCCAGTGTATCATCACGGCAGAAAAATATAACTATACAGAATTATGGAGTCACTTTGATTATTACATTGATGGGAATGATCATTTTGTTGCTTCGATAACAATGTTTCAGTATTAACAATCTAAATGCAAAACAAAATCAAGTTAAGTATTTTAGTATTGTTTCTACAATATTATACAATTACCAAGTAATGCTAATTGGTGCACTGTAATTACAGGGGCGGTACTACAGGGACTCATACATACTTAGTAGTAATCAAATAGCTAATTACTGGACCACCTAGGCGGTGAAAGAAAAAGAGTCAAAGACAGCTCCCTCCTGGATTGCACGCTCCATTCATATGCAGGTTTTCAGTTAAACCAAGACAACCTAAGAACTCATAAGCCCTTTTTCTTTCATAGCAGGTATAAAACCCTCAAAGTAATCTTCTGACACACTGCTGCAATCCAAACCTATAAAAATACACGCTCAGTTCTGAAAAGCCGGCAGTAGTGAGCTGCAGTTAGAACATGCAGGTATCTTAACACTGGCCTCCCTGTGTCCTCTGATTCCTCTGCAGAGGCATTTACTTGTCATAGCTGTCTTCATGTTCACAGTAAATACAACTCTACAACAAATACCTACTGTAGACACTCACTCACACATGCGCACACATATACAGTATTTCAAAGCAAAATATCAACAAGATAAAATGCACTTTGTCATGAAGTAACAGTAAAACTCAATACTTTGGTCAAACAAATCTAATAATTTTGTATCTCTACACAACATCAAAAACAATTTAAGGCAAAAATCAAGCATTCAACAAGTCAAACAACAAAAGGTTCAGAAACATACATTGAAAATATTTCTTTTTACAATATTTTCTCATAGAAAAATATGTTTGACTTGCACAGAGTTTTAAACATGGCCACAGTAAGACTCTATTCAACCTTGAGTGCACAAGACAGCATCAGATTTCATCACAAATCTATTGGTTCCAGTGCAGCTGTAGTAAATGGATGCAAGGGCATCCTGGTGTAAATTCGACTGGCGTGGAGTATATTGTACAATATCCTGCAAGCTACTGCAGCTACAAAGAAACTAAACTAAATATTACCAATAATGACAATTACACTGCCATTTTAGTTATATAGGTAAACCACATCTGATCACGTTTTACAACTGTGTCCATCAATCTGTAAACATTGTTTGGTAAAACCAACACTTCCCTACAAACTATTTTTGTTTAATCCTCCAGTAGTTACAGTATCCATCAGGCAGCAACAGTGCGCAATCTGCAGGAAAAACAAAAACTACAAATACAGTAAAATACAAATACAACTCCTTGTTTCTGAAGCGAGTACCGCAACTAACCACAGCGGAATACTTCGATAGTGCAAATTCGACCTGGGGCTGAGCCGTGCACGGCAGCGCCAACATTGGCACTTCACCGGCAGTGGATCCCAGTCTGAGGCGACTGTCGAAAGGCATGTTCTGCCTGACTGGTTGAAGGGAAGGTAGGAGGGGCAGGGGTTGTAAGCTAGCCACAACACGAGGGAGACATCTAACAGTGGGAGTGAAATGGAGGCAGAGGCCGGCGTTCGGCGAGGTTGGCTGATTGGGGCTCCAGATTGCAGAGTTCGTGTACAGATTGAACCTAAATGTCACAGTGCTTCTGTGTCCAGAGGCCCACACAGGGATGATGTGTGTTGCGTATTTACACGAGTGGAGGGATAGTACAGGAGTCAGTCAACATGACCACCTGTCAGCACAGCAGTCTGAATGGGACCAGAGTGTGTGGTGCAGCATCTGGTAATCTGTTGCTCAAGTCTCAACAGGTTCAAAGTCACCATCACATTTTTCATTCTCTGAAGCTTGTGTGTGGGCATGATTACATGTGTATATCTACTAGCTAAAGTACATTCTTTTGATTTTACAGTTTAACACAATTTGAGCTTGACACACACATTTGCAAAAATCATTGCCATCCCCAGCAACTGCTTAAAATTTCAGGCACGAAGACTAAGTGGCAGGTCACAAAAAATGGCCGAACAGGTGGCAAAGTGTAGAGGGCCAAGCAGGAGGTAAAGCTGAGGGATACCAGCAGAAGATCCAATGTACATTTACAGTAGGTAGAGGTGACACTGTCAAAGGAAAGGAAAAGTTAACATATTGATTAGTGTTTAATGTGTTCTGTATCATGCATATTTGTTTCTACAGGCTCTTACGGTGATATGGCTCCAAACTACATAATTGCACATACAATATTTCCAAATCTAGAAAAGAGTGGATTTCAAGTATGGGAGGACATTGCAGTTGTAGCTCATCAGTACTTGCAGAATCATAATCATGGGCAAATTTACATTCAGTCCTCCTAGGGAGCTGCTGCTAATAATAGCATTTCTCACTCAGGTTGCCACAGGCATATTAAGTATCCAGAAAAATCACTCATTATTGTTACTTTTTATTTGCTTCTTTATTTATTCCTCTCTGTTCTGTTTTCCTTCTTTCTTTTGGGCTCTTAGATGTAAGTTCATATATAAAAATATGAATGCCTCTGTGACTAAAATAGTCAAGACTGTAATGTATCAGGTAAATCACAGAACATAATCTAATTAAGGTGGACATTTATTGACTTTGCCGGAACTCAACAGTAGCGAGACTAATCAATCTATGTTTGCGTCAAAGCTTCACGGAGCCTTGAGCTCTTAAAGGCTTAACCGACGATGTGTGTTTACGAAGTAAAATGTTACATTAATGATAACGGCCATTAGTGACAGTGACAGTGATTGTTATTTCTAAGGGGAAACAATAAAACATGACTTCACAGGTGTTGCAGCGGTCTGGGGAGGCCTGTTCTAACAATCTTGCACCGCTTTGAAGCTCTTAACTAACGTCTGTACATAGGCTGTCTGAGAAAGCCTGTGCACACAGAACACAGAACATTTGTTTAATATTGTTAAGAAAGGGGCACAGTCGGCTATCATTTGATGTTTGCACATTTTATCCCTATTTTTGTCTCCCGCTGTAAAATAGGAGACTAATTGATTTGGTTTTAACATAATTTTGTCATTGCTCTGCTCTGGTATTTTCGAAAATAAATGGAGACTCCATTGATTTTACACATGGTGCTCAGTTTACTCACCATGACGAGGACTACTCAGTTTGTGAAAGCGGTCATAAAATAAATTTTTTGGCTCTGCAGGGAGCTTTCTAAAGTCTGAAATAACTGATAGGAGGCAGTGTGGGGGCATGTTATTTAAGACACCATAAAGTTGCATTATCATAATTGTGGGATCCGGCGTTTTTGGAGCTTGACCAATGCTAGGCACTAAACGTCAAGATATCTAAGGCTTCGGTTCTTCGCATTTGACCATTTTTCTTTTAATATGTCTTCAGTGCCAAAGGTATTATTACTGATGAATGATGGTCAAAACTACAAAATATTATCATTTCAATATTCCATATTGAAACAATAAGATCTCACCTTGGCCCTGGACACTAAGACCCCTTTTTCTACTCCTCTTCTATCCTCCTGCAATCCTTCCATCTCTTTTCTGACGTCAGGGAGTGGTGTCTCCACGGTGCATGGACGCTCTTCCCCATGCACCCTGTCCACCTCCTCCTCCCCCTCCTCCTCCTCCTCCTCCCCCGTGGTCCTTATCTGACTCAGGCTGGCTCTGGGCTCGCTCAGGCTTTGGGTTGGGTGTGCACGGCGGGTCGGGCTGCTGCACTGACATGGTCCTGCGGAGGTGGGTGCGCTTACACAGGAAGTCAGGCTTCGCTGAGAGACCAAATGAGCCTTTCCTTAGAACCATACGAACTGAAGGAGATTTCTTGGCTCTGGCTCTGTGCCCAAACTGAAGGGTGGAGAGGTGCGCTGCATAGCCATCGCTCAGGAACTACATACACCACACAGAGAAGAGATTAGAAAATCAGAGAATAGTAAGAAGATTAAAGTACATAAGAAAAACCAAGTGGAAAAAACAAAACCTTTCAACTGAAATAGGGAGACAGACCATGAAATGCAACTAAAGAAAGAGATAAAAGACCCATATGAAAACTGAACTACCTGGCACTGATTTTGGTACTTCTTCGAAGGTCTGCCAACAATATAAATCTGTGAGGGGCTGAGGCCGAGCATGTTGTAAACAGAGATGTCCTTCATGGATCCATAAGCAGAGTTGATCTTAATGTGACACTGGTAAGAGGGTGAGAGAGAGAGCAAATAATCAGTCGGAGATGTGCATGGCATTTCGATGCAGCTACAACCCAAGGCTACAACACTGTTAGCTCTCATAAGAAATCAAGAGATAAGTGTAGGGTGGAGAACAAAATGTACTGTACAGTCAATGTCAGAACGATTGTTTGTCTCACCTCCTGTATTAGGTTCCTGAGGAAGATGGTCTTCTGTCTCAGGGGATCATGAACCAGGCCTTCAGAAAAGAAGATCATCCCATGGGGAAAATTGTGCTGCGAGAGCCAGGATACCACACGCTGCTTCTGCATGTCAGGGCGGCCTGTGATGTAGATAATTAGATATCCCAGGTCCTGCCAATGCCTGTGAATACATAACATAAAATACACTCCAAAATCATTCATTTTAAACAGCAGTAGTGACATTATCTTGGAGAGGACAGCTTAAATGCTTCAAACATTAGTTGTGTATTCACTTCTTAATGTATATCCTTCTGAACCTTCTTCATCCACACCCCCACTCAGAGGCTGTGTTACAATTTACCTGACGACATCGACAGCTCCGGGGCGGACCTTGGGGTCACTGCCCATGATTGACACACTAGCAGCAAAAGAGCCATCAATGCTGAAGACCACACACTCCATTCCCCGTGGCAACACAGTCAGGTAGGCCTCTGCACTTGTTTGATCCCCCCTTGGGATATAAAAGAAGAGAGATTGAATGAGAAACTGCATTTGCTACACATGGTCGTTGTTCCCTTCAAGGTCCTTTATACTGCACCCTTTAGCTAAAAGCCCACACACTGATACAGAGCATGGATATAGTACTTAATTCAATAGTTGTCTCCTTTTTCTATGTATTGCTACGTTTTATTGGATTATGCAGCACTCGGTAAAGGGCCTGCTACGTGGGTGCTTACTTGACCACCATTTTAATCGGATAGACTCCCAGGGCAAGCTTCTTGCTCTTGGGTATGGTATATGTGACTCTGCCGCTGCTGTTGGTCACCTCCGTGTCAAAATGCACCCAGCGGCCAGACTGAGGTTGTGTCATTAGCAGGATGTCCACCTATGAGAGGCAGGGTGGGTCAACGGGCAGAGATTAATGTTAAGTCTTTCATACACAGTATATACAACATGTAGTAATCAGTCATGTTGCTGCTTTTCACCTTTTCTCCAGTAAGGGTAACCATGTCTAATGGGCCATACATGAAGCGACCAACCAGAGTTTGAGGTCCATCCTCAGTGGCAATAACATCATTCACCCTGTGGTTGGCGGTGACGTTCTGCAGAGGGAGCATAAAACACATTTCAGCCAGGACACTGAAGTCAAGGTTTTAACCTTTTATTGTTGCTTATGTGATGTTCCGAAGCAAATTTTAGCATTGACTGATGGAGACAGAGCGATAGAAAAAGGTAGAAAGCTCTGAAAAGCATTATTTTACATATTAAGATCCCAAGGTCAAGAATGAACGTCAATGCTCAAACCTGAGAAAGCTTTACACACACTGTGAGCTTCAGAAGAGCCAGCTATAGACATTTAATATACATCAACACAAATTTAAAACAGCTAAAATCTATATTTTTATCGATAGATTAATAATGGGTCAAATGACTATGTGTAACGTGGAAGGGGTTGGTTGTAGTGATAAACTCGTATTGTTTAAATTTTGCCCGTAACATTACACATCAGGCAACTTTTTCAGTGGAAAAACTCAAAAAACCTCCTCTACACTACCTGCCTAACAGCAAACTACAGACAGAGATAGAGCAGCTAGGTTGACATATTTCCGAGATAAAAGGTGGCTAAACACGGGGGGGCCAGAAACCTCAAAAGAATGTTGTTCCATATCCGCTTGCTGCGTACTGTACATATGAAACTGTCTGCTAACAAGTTAACCATGTCAACTTAAAGGTGATAATATGTGAATGTCGTGTTTACAACTTGCTGCTGCTCCAAAGAGCAGCTAACAAAGGGCTTTAGAACCATTCACAATTCACATTGAACTAAATGTAAATAAGAGTGCTGGGGAAGTGACGGGAGTTAAAATGCTAAAAGGAGTTTATGTGGACCACCTTAACAATTAGACATAAACTATTACTCAGTAGGTACAACATGTGGCTATGAAATGACGTCTGCGCCTTCTTGAACTACCATGAGGAGCCAATAAAATAACCACATGTGTCTTTATAAGCCCTTTAGACACAGCACTATATAACAAGCAGAGATGTGTTGCATTTCCAGATTTCCAACCAAATGCCTTTGAACAATGCCCTGTGGGACCTTCCAGAAAGAGGGTTAACTCTCTATTAAGCTTCCTTGTCTTGTTCTTCTCTCCATATTGCACCATTCAGTGAGAACCTCCAACTGAGCCAGCAGAGAAACACTAATCCCTAAATCTCTCATTGCTGAGATGGCTGCATTTTAATAGCATATTATCAGCACACAAGTATATAATTCTCAGACTCTGTTGTGGGCCACCATGACAGAAATCTTAATTTTCCTACCAACTTTTCTGCCATTTCTGTAACCTTCACTTTATCCTAGAGAATTTTGCTCGGCACACGTTCTTTTTATATACCCTGGTTTTTTTTTAGCTCTAGATAGTACGATAAAAGATAAGACTTCCTCCAGAGGCCTATGCTGGGTTTATGCTTATAAAGAGCTGATAAAATGTTTACTTTTAAAAATATAAAATACAAGAGTCACAGCTAATATAAACATACTATAATAGAAGTAAAACTTCATGAGTAAATAAAAGCAACAGCAGTAAATGTAATTTGTTAATTCCATCTTTGTTTATTGCAATGATTTCATGAGGAGCGAGAGGCTGCGATGACATTTAATTTACCTGAAAATAAAGTGTTGTTTATTGACAGCACTCACCGAAAGATAATGTATCATCTGCACATAATCATATTGTAAAGTGCTAATGTGATCAAACATGTTGTGGTTGTATTTTACTGTTGAACCACATTGGTAAATGATAACTAATTTGAGCATCTAACATAATTTCCAGTTGTTTTGCTTTGTCAACAATTAATTGTTTGCCAGGCATATATGTATATGCACAACTGCACACACACACACTAACATACAGTACATAAAACATCTCAGCTACTGTGTGACTTGAGGAGGCCTGACAGTGTTGGATATGTGGTTAGATTTCCCCGACACAGTTCACTAGTTCTCCGTGCAGTCATTCGTGACAAAAAGAAAGCAACATGCGCCTTAGTATCACCATCCACTCAAACCCGACAAAAGCGTGGAAGAGAGGAGTTGGAGAGTCAGACCCCTGCCTGCGAAAGAGCAGCATGTACAAGAAACAACAGCCACACTAGTGGTCTTGCTCCAGCTGTGACAAAGAGGAAGCCGAGGAAGATCAGAAATAGAAGCCAAGTCTCTCTGAATAGTATCACTCTGCAGCAGATGAGCTGGCTGTGATTTAGATTCAATCAGCACAGAGCGGCTCTAAATCTCTACATACCAAATCATACTCAGGACGGGGCAACTTTTTTTTAGAACAACTGTTCTTTAAGCACTTACATCAGAAAACACATCACTTGCCCAAGGTGAGGCATGAACAAGATCACACTGAAAGAGAAAAGCCTTCACAGACTCAAATATAGGTTTCCATGGTACTCTGGTTCCTTGAGTTCTATTTATAGCCTCAATAAAAACAGGCAGTAACAAAATTCTTGTCTTTAGAAAATGGAAGATAAAAGGAGCATGGTGGATAGCAACGTGACCTTGATTGTTTAAGTCTGCAGGGCTCAGAAGCATCCAGTAATTGTGTGTGTCTGCCTGCATCAGTGCTTCAAGGTGAAAGTGTGGGAGTATTTTAAGAAATTCAAGCCACAGACCATTCACACGGGCCACAGCACTAAAGCATTACAACCTCAAGAGTTGGTGATAAATTTATTTTTAGTCTGAATGAATGCAAGGCTAATGTGGCAGAAGAACAATTTCTGCACTGTGTGTGAGTGTTTGTGTGGGTGGTTGCATTTCTGAGAAGGAGAGGCACCTTAGAACAATATTCCAGGTTGTGTAATATCTTGTGTCCAAGCCAAAGTGCTTTGTTAAAATATTCATGAATTTTTTCGCATAAAGTTTGAACATGAGCTTCTAAAAGTTAATTGAGGAGCAATATAATCACATTTGTGTTGGTGATTTAGCCAGCAGAGCAAACTGGGACAAAAGTAAATTTTTACAAAGTAAAACACAGAATAATTTATTACCCTTAGTTTGACATGTGTCCTCCTTCTGAGCCATTTCTCACGTGGGCTGGAGGGAGAAAATGGAGCGGAGTCCGGATTATCCGATTCTTGGGTCTTCACACAGTCACATCGCATTAGCTGTCAATAAACACATGCATATATAAGAGCAGGCATTTCCACACCCAAGCCTTTGAAATCAAATCCTACATTAAGCAGACGGACCAGGTTTGCCTATCAGTAATGGCCTGAGCACTTTCTGCACATCAATGCAGTTAAGAATAATAAACAATAATAACATGGAACCATCTGACGCCTTGAAATTAAATCTGCAGTTATGTTTAGGGATCATAAATCACAATTCTAATGGAAAGCTTTTGTGACAAGACCAGCACTTACACAGAGTAAGGGCTATGAGGTGATTTGGAGAGTACTCGAAGAAAATTACCGCTCCCTCCTTGAAAAAGGCAATGCATATCATTCCTGACTCAATCACTAGTTGGCTTGGATGTAGAGATGCTCCTTGTTTAAAAACACATTCTCTAAGATACTCTTAGAAATTGGGCCATGAGAAAAGCACATGATTCAGCTTTAAGAAATAAGTTTCTGTGCAGCACTTACATTCCATGACAATCCTTTAATATGACTGGAGCTGAAAACCGCTGAACCAAAAATAATGATCTTTGGGTTTATTAGCTTCCTGATGGCGTCGATAGCACTGCTCTCCTTATTCTACTCACGTTTCTCACAAAGAAGACACGCTGCTGCAGCAGACAGTGGCATAGTGAAGAAAATCTTCTCTTTTTCTTCCTCGGGAGCTCAGCTTTCTAATGATCAAGTTCAAAGACTGACGGTGTTTCCAGTGGCTTTTAATAGAACATGACGTGATACACTTGTTTCATTTATTTATGTTTTTATCCTGTTCTTTGGATTCAGCGAACATCTTTGTCATTATCACAGATGCACAAATACACACTACACATGACTGTAATCACTGTCAAAGATGGGATATATTCATGGAGAGCTCAGTGGGTAGATGGTGGTAGTAGCACTGCCAGGGCTCATGGTTTAATTCCCACTTAAGTACTAGAAATATATGCACTGTTGGCACTATAAAACTATAAGGTTGAGTCCTTGCGATGTGAAGAAAGTTAATGATAGATGTATGGAAATGACCAGACTCACTTTAGCTGAGAAAAACATTTGCATACCTTTAAAATCCTACCCAACCGTAAAAATGGTTGGCACCACACATTTAATTTCTGACTTCTGCAGATTATAGTCACGTCCTTCAAATTCTATACACAAACCAGCCCACACTACAGAATCCTGGTCAGATTTGTTCATATTTCAGTCAAACACGTTTGATAAAATGGCACCCACTTGTCTGAGGCTTAACTGTGAGGTGTGAGATGAATCTTAAACATCCTCACACAAGATAGTGTGCCAACTGTTGATAGTGACCTTCCCTTCATTTTGCAGACCACCACACAATCCCCACAATCTTAATCATCACTCATAAAGGCTTGACTGAGCACTGGATTGTAGCTAAACATACTGTCTTGAAGCGCCTTCAGACAATATTTATGGTTAATTTTTTGGGGGTAAATCTATATCTACATTGTTTATTTCTTAATACTGCCTCCACAGTTACATGCCATAAAGGAGTGTTGACGACATTACTGGCTCGCTGCCAGACTTCTGGTTATAACATATAAGGGTATGATCAGTGCAGAAGGAGCCCTTTAATAACTAAGCAGCATCTTTCCTCAATGCTGTGTTATTTGTGAAGCAAGAAGACATCATTAAATGGAAACAGCTGTTCCACAACGAATAGCATTTGGTTCAAAGAAATTGTAAAAGAGGAGAATATAAAACATCACAGACTCACCTTTCACTACCATAAACTTTGAGTAAGATCTGAAAAGTCACAGAGGATGCAGCATCTAAAAGATGGCATATGTTAAAAAACTAGTGAATCGGCATTTGTTTGGACGTTCTGGAAGACGTTAATTGGTCCAAGTTTTACCTACATTATATATCAAAACAAACTAAAATGGCATGTGGAGTTCCCCATGGGTCAATCCTTAGACCCCTTTGTCAACCGCAACATACTGCCATTCACTGATTATTTATTTGATTATTTGCACAACAAACTGTTATTCTGCTAATTTTATTTTACAAGAAATGCCAACAAAAGTTTCTAAAAATAAACCACTTCATATTAAAGCACCAAAAAAAGACTACTCTGCTTCCAACTGGCCTATGTCCAGTGCCTCCACTTTCTACCGCCTACAACTTTCTTGTTATACAGACAGATTTTAGTGTACATCTCACAAAGAGCTAAATGGATGATGCACTGACAGCAAGTGTTTTTCTGCTATTCTCAATTTGTTATAGTTTGGAAGTAAACAAATCTGGAGGCCGTGAACTCCGAGCAGACCACAACTGTTACATCAAGGAAGATGGTGCATATTAAAACTGAACAAGAGACTCGAGACGTGCCATATTTTGTGATTTTGTTTCATCTATACCTAGAGTAACATACTTAGAGAACCTTTCCACATTTGATTTGACAAGTTGAGTCTTTTTAGATACTAGCCACCATTTTCTGCGTGTTTCACTCGTATGTGACACATGATAGTAAATAACACAGTGTTTTTACCCGCGTAAACTGGATGCCCAAGCTGTGATTTATTAATTTAATCATGTTCAGCCAGTAACAAAGTGGGATGCTAGTGCTGAGAAAGGTGATGAAGTGTAAAAGCAGATGCACATCGAGACTGTAATTCACATAGCTCTTACTTTTCCCTGCAAACAGTTTTTTGTCTTATGATGAAACTTCCTTTTTGAAATGTCATATGTATGCTAATTATCATATACTAGAACAAGTCAGTGTAAGTCTTTAATGTTTTAGTATGCTAAAATGAATCACTACTTCCTTCAATCTCTAAAACTTGCTAGGAAAAAAAAAAAACATGCTCTCAATAAGGCTTGCCCACCTGCCGGAGAACAAAAGCTGCTACGTCAGTGGATTCCCAGTAAGAGGCGTGAAAAAGGTGAGGCAGAGCCACTGTTGGGAAGGCAGTCAGCACATCGGGGCAATACAAAGCATAATCCAGCCTCTTGGAGCCCCACCAGCTGCTGGAAACTGGGAACAAACACACATTTGCAAGAGTAGATATGGAAATCTGAGGTCAGCGAAAGAGTTGTAAGCCTGAATTTATCTACAGAAGATAATTGAATAAATTAGACAAGACAGTGTAGCTTCCCTCCTACTCACTGTTAGCTATGGTGTTTCCCAGCTGGCCCATGGAGCAAATCGAAGTTTCACTTTCCACACTGGTCACACTGGCTCTACGACCTCCCTCTTCTCCTCCTCCTCCTCCTTCACTCTTCGTTCCAGGCTGTGAAGCTGGACCTCCAGGAGTTTGATCACTTTCCAGGAACACGTTTGTATGGCCTTGGATACTCTCCGCTAGGGAGGGTGAGAAGAGGAGGGAAAGAGAAAAGACAAGGACACACGAAGAGGGAAGAGGAAAGGAAATGCTTTGATCAGTCAACAATTGACTGGACTCAATCTTTAAATCAATGCTGTTATTTTGCCTAATGAGGTAGCCCCTTGTTGTGTATTGACTTGCTTTGTGTTTTATCACTGTAAACCAAAGACAAGGACTAAGTAGGAGTACAATGACAGAGGCTGCTACTCTACATGGGGTTCAATACATTTGCATTGGCTTTGGAAGTCCCAAAAAGAATCTTGCACTCTGCTCCTACTGACAAGTAGGTCTCCAACCGGCATGTCTCTACGCAGCTCTCTCCTATTTGTTCAGTGATAATACTGCATAATAGGAAAAAGTGAATTTTCCCTAAAGACCTGGTTTCACCAGACATCATGGATCTACTTGTTATTCAGTAAGACGCAGAGCCTAAGACGCATATTTCATCAATAATTTAATTGTCAGAGAGGCAAGTGTCTACCAGTTTAGTTCAATATCACATTTACCTTAAACCATACAGTATGTCCTGGGGACAAAAGGAGACTCACACTGAATGTAATACAACAGTATTTCCTTAGCTGAACAACAGGAAGCTGAACAACAAAGCCATGAGGCCAGTCTCTCTTTGAGAACACTCCTATACTGTTTTCATCTTCTACCTGTAGTATGACACTCAAAATGTTTTTTCAACCAGACTCTGGAGAGGATCCATTCATCCTGTTACAGAGGCCTTGTATGTTGTTGTAGATCTATTATGACACTGGATATGGTGTGCTACAGATATAAATGTTGACCTCACACCAATCCATTATCTGCCAAACATTTGAACAGGATATATTCTATATATTTGTGTAAACAAACAAGCCAAGACTGCAGATCACCGCATTTCTCATCATGTCATTTATTCGCTCCCATTTACTGTAATATGTATCAATCCAGTAGGATGTCTTTGATGTGATGGAGTGGATATAAGGTATGAACCAGGAGCTGGAACACGAAAGCAGCATGGCTTAACGAGTGTGTCTGCAAATGTTAAACTGACTGTCTTTTATACGCGTCTTTCTTTCTCTTAACCTTTGCCTCTGACACAATTCTCTGTTGACATGACTTCCACTCACACTAAACACCAACATTAGACAGATGTTATCTTCACTCACGTACGGTGTGTGTGCCTGCATGCATTCCATTTTTGTAACTGGGGTGTCTGGATGTATCAAATGATCACCGACAATAGTCTGTTTTGTTTCATGAAGCAGTCAGCTATTGGCAGATTAACCCTCTCCCAGCGGCATGCTGGAATGGTTATAAATAAGCCGCCAGATGCAGCCACATGTTGCCTTGTGTTTGGTCTGTGAGGGATCGGCTACTGCAGCAGAATACAGATTAACAGCCGCTCTCTCAGACGTGAGGGAGAATCAGCTGTGGTTAATAAATGCCCACAGTCAAGGCAAAGAACCATCCATATTAGGATGATGAAGATGATGGAATCTGACAGATATTATGTACGTGTCAGGGATGCCAGATTCAATGCTCTTCACATACGTGCACATTTTTGCAGCATTAATGTGTGCGTGTTTGTATGTGTGTGTAGAGCCCATTTCAGACATGGAATACGTAACATTACTGGCTTCATCCATCTGTTCAAGTGATGGCATTTTCTCATTCAGACAGGTGACTTTTAAGTTAATGTTCCTCATTAAATATTAAGTAAAAAATATTACAAGGGCAAGACTTTTCTGTTCCCTCACAGGCTATATCCTGGAGGGATTTGAAAAGATATTTTGTTGTTGAAGCTCTAATGACTGTGAACAAGAGAGAGTGTCCCCTCTTCTCGGGAGTGAATCCACTAATAGATTTTCACATCAATTCCATAATTTAACGCTATTACAGAGCAAACTCTGCTGCCTGTTTTATAATGTCCAACAGTGCACAAGCATTGAATGGCAGGATGTCAAGTTGGGTTGGATAATCATTGATTGGCATGAATGAACATTGGAAATGTAGGGAGAAACTGTTGGACAGGATGGTGGTTGCATGAGGGTTTTTTAAAATGCCGTCACATTAACGTAAATGGGTCCATAAAAAAGCAAAAAGTATTGACAGAATGACTTTCCTTCCCTTTGACATGCAATATTTGAAGCAAAAACTCAGTTGTCATCATCATTTGTAATGCAGAAATGCCAAAACAGACTCTCAAATTTCCATTGCTGTTTTATTACATTTAATAGTTTTTGGTTTTTTGTATTGTTGGTTGGACAAAACAAGCAATGAGTTGCAACAATAGATTAATCAAGGAAATTAATTTGCAACTATTTTGATAATTTTTCAAGTAGAAATGCCAAAAATGCTCAAAAGTGAACATTTGTAGCTTTCTCTTGAATTAAACTCAATATCTGTGGGTTTTAGACTTTTTGGGCTAAAGGAAATTGTGATCATCATCATCATCAATCATTTTTACTACTCACTTATAGACCAAACAACTCACTTACTACTCACTTATCGACCAAACAAATCATCAAAAAAATTAATCTGGGCGCCCGGTTAGCTTAGTGGGTAGAGCTGGCAACCCATCCCATGTACCGAGGCTGCAGCGGCCCAGGGTTCGAAGTTCTGACCTGCGGCCCGTTCTTGCTTTTGCTGTCATCCTCTCTACTCTGCCCCCCTTTCCCTGTCTGTCTTTCAGCTGTTTTTCACTATAATTACAAGGCAATCTTAAAAAAAAGCCCCAAAAAAATATTTTCAACTATAAATAAAAATAAAATTCTGCATTTACTTGCTTCCCTTAAATTGTTTGTTAAGTTAGCTTTTCCTAAACAGGTTTTCTTCTTTTAGTTTTAAGTTAAAAAAAAACAAAAAAAAACTTTTAAAGAATAAATCTTGTTTGGCAAGCCTTGGATGGGAAAAACCACCTTCGGGCTCCTGGCAAAAAAAATTGCTGGATGGAACAATTTTTCCATTAACATTTTCTTGACATTTTTGAAAAATCTAAAACCATTTACTTCGCTAAATTAATGAAATCTAACAAACACTGGTACTTAATAAGAAGGAAACAGGGCAGCGATCTTTTCAAGAAAATGACACGGGGTTTTAACACACGCTGGAAAGATTGCATCCCACCAACAAGAAATTTAACAGATTTTAACTTAACCCCCTCTTCTCTCGGCCAACCTTGCCTTT